AACCCAAACCCAATCCTAACCGGAACCCAACCCAAACCCAACCCAAACCCAATCCTAACCGGAACCCAACCCTAAAACAACCCAAACCCAACCCAAACCCTACACCAACCCAAAACCAACACTAACCCAACCCAAACCCTAAACCAAACCCAGCTTCCAACAGCCACACCATCCTGTAAAGCTGACTCTACGGCGTGGCATGGTCCGACTGCAGAAAATCAGTAGAAAGAGGAGAATAAGACTCTGTCACTACTAAACTGAGTCAGACAGTCCCACGTACACTAGTGTTGCACCCCCAGACTGTTCTCTAACGTGGAATGGTCCGACTGCCCCTCAGCGTTACTGGTGTTGTTGCTGATATTTAACGTCACATGTAATCAGTGTTGGACAGCCAGACCATCCTCCAGTACTGACACAGCACTGTACGATGGTCCAGCTGGCCCAGATTCTGCTATAAGGGGCGGAGCTCTGTCTAACTACCAGGTGAGATAGTTTAGATCACAGGTGAACTGGTCTCATGAACCCACAGCGCTCTCTAGTGGGGACACAGTAGATTACACTGGAATGGACCCATGGTGGCGGGTCAGACCATTCTGCTGCAGACAGGAGGAAAGCTCTCCATCGAGTAAAACCAGGTGAGACAGGCTCTGTCATGGGACTTTATCCTCAGAGTTGGCCCCTCCTCCCTGCAGGCAGGTGAGGTTGCCTCCGCCCCACCCTGTGTTGCCATAGCGACGGCGTCCTGTCAGTGTGTTTGTGTTGGTGAACTGATGCATGACCCCTGACCTCTGACCCCCGTCCCCCCACAGGAAGACCATAGCGGTTAGAATAATCGACCACGAGGAGTACGATAAGAAGGCCAGCTTCTACGTAGAGCTGCAGGAGCCCAGCTGGAACAGGAGGAGATGGACAGGTGTGACCACGCACCTGACGGACGATGGCTTCAGAGCTTTGCTCCTTTACCTGTCTGTGTTCGCTTCAATCTCGCTGCCTTCTTCCTCCGTCTTTACGATGACATCAGTCAGTCTGCTGTGATTGGTCAGACTGCTCCTGATCCAGCTGTGATTGGTCAGACTGCTCCTGATCCAGCTGTGATTGGTCAGACTGCTCCTGATCCAGCTGTGATTGGTCAGACTGCTCTCACAGTGTCTCATTCATAGACCGTTTTGAAACGTTACATTTTCAGAGGTTCAGCCAGAAGATGATCTGTGAGCTTTCTCCTCGTATTCCAACCTGGATCTAAAATCAGTCGTGGTTTAACTCTCCTGCTCTCTGAGATCAGCCTGAGGACAGATGTGGACACTTTGTGCAGACACCTGGCTCAGGTGAGAACAGGTTTGGAAATCTTAGAAGTGGGTGGACTGGTGAGGGGAGGCTGGATCAGTAGGTTCTCACAGGCTTCAGCAGGTCCAGTTATGATGGATTTATTGGGACAAGCTTAAACTTTAGGACTCGTTGGATTTGTGGGTCTTGTTGTGGCACACCTGGAGGTTGTGTGATGGTTCTGGACACCTTGGGACTAGTTCCAGTATGTAGGTCTGGTTAGTTTGGTTGAAGCTAGCTGGGACAGAGCAGGGTGCTGTGAGACGGTTACATTAGTTGGACTTGTTGGTCAGACCTAGAGACCTTTGGACAGTTTCGGGTCTGGTTGGTTGAAACTGGTTGGACAGATAGGACAGGCTGAGACGTTTTAGGAAGACTTGTTGCTGGTTGCTGAAGCTGTGACAGATAAGGGAACCGCAGAATGGGCTAGATCTGTTAACGTGTTGGTGCAGATGTGGAGATGGTCAGCTGCTTTTGGACACCTTGGAACCAGCTGGTTGGGTGAAGCTGGGACGGGTCTGGACTGTGGTTAAACCTGCTTGTGTCCGTCACCGTTCTGGTCTGTTCTGCACCTGATTTAACATGACATCCTGCACATGGTATGAACTAGCAGCAACCCTCAGTGTTAGTGGACGCTCTCTGGAACCGGCCGGTCCGGATTCATGGACGGGTCGGGACCGGTTTGGTTAAACTGTGACGGTCTCTCTTGAGTTCACCTCTTTGTTTTTCTGCTTCTTGTCTGTTTGTCCTCTTCAGCTGTGTTGCTTCAAGAAGTCGGTAAGCCACTTCCCTTCCTCTCTGTTGTCGGTTTCTGTCCGTCAGCTTCCACTTTGTGCATTTTCTCCATTTTTGTTTTAAGAATTATCACAAAATCGAATCGTAAAATTTGACCTCCACTTTCTTGTTTCCTGACCTTCAGGTGGATTCGTGAAGATAGGTAAGAGAACCCAAACTTCTCCAAACTCCTTTGCTCTGAGCACTTTTCCTGCTGGATCTGTGGTAACGGATGCTTTCTGTCTGGCTCTCTGATAGACAAACAGCTGTGCGGTAAGACGCCTCCTGCAGGTGGAAATGTTTGCTTTCAAAGTGTTTCAACGCTTTGACCGTAGCGCTGCAGCACTTTAACGTCACAGTGAAACCTCTCATCTGGCTCGCATGCATCACGGTGGAGGCAGAAAAACAAGAAAACATCTCCCAAACTGAGCCCTGGTCTCTGTGGATCAGCGTGGGCGGCAGGCTTCAGCCTCCTCCACTAAAGCCACTGCTTCCAGCCGCAGAACATCCAGACTGCACTTGTTACAGCTGAGGCTCTGTACAGAGTGAATAAAGCTTCACGGCTGCTGCATGGAGCCATTCGAGCTGTTTCCATGTTTCCAGTCTTTACGCTAAGCTAAGCTAACCTGCTGCTGGCTGTGGCTGCATATTTACCGCATTGATGTGAAGTGATGAGAAGATATTTCTATCTGATGGTGAAGTGAAAGTCTGGCGGTGATATTATGTCCAACCTGAGATACCTGAGCTAGAGATGAGAACATCTGGAGGCACATGTGGCTCCTGCAGTGACATTTAGTCCAGTTCAGACAGCAGTCGTGTTCCCAGAAAGCTGTCAGGCCGAGATAAGGCAGCATGTTTATGTACATGATGTCTGTCTGGTCCTTTTGCATCACATTTCGTTCGTTTACGTCGTTTCGTGGTTGGTTTGTGTTGCATTTGGAATAAATGAACTATGCTGTGTAGTTTGTCAGTAGGTGGCGCTGTAGGTCAAGTTGAACATGTTTGCAATAAACCGAGAGGAAAAATAAACCCAGTTGTTTATCACCTGCAGAAAAAAACAATCAAAGAAGTCTTTCTGCACATTTTGAGCATTATATGCATTTTTGTGTTAGTTTGCATTTAATTTATGTTGTTCCTGATCAGATTTATGTTG